AACAAACCCATTCAAAAGTGAATGAAGGACATGAACAGACACTTTTCAAAAGAAGACATATATGAGGCCAACAAACATATGAAAAAATGCTCATCATCCCTGGTCATTAGATAAATGCAAATCAAAACCACAATGAGATACCATCTTACGCCAGTTAGAATGGCAATCATTAAAAAATCTGGAGATGACAGATGCTGGAGAGGATGTGGAGAAATAGGAACACTTTTACACTGTTGGTGGGAGTGAAAATTAGTTCAATCATTGTGGAAAACAGTGTGACAATTCCCCAAGGACCTAGAAATAGAAATTCCATTTGACCCAGCAATCCCATTACTGGGTATGTATCCAAAGAATTAGAAATCGTTCTACTATAAAGACACATGCACACATATGTTCATTGCAGTACTGTTTACAACAGCAAAGACCTGGAACCAAGCCAAATGTCCATCAATGATAGACTGGACAAGGAAAATGTGGCACACACCATGGAATACTATGCAGCCATAAAAAACGATGAGTTAGTGTCCTTTGTAGGGACATAGATGAATCTGGAATCATCATTCTCAGCAAACTGACACATAACAGAAAATCAAACACCACATGTTCTCACTCATAGGCAGGTGTTGAACAATGAGAACACATGGACACAGAGAGGGGAGTATCACACACTTCAGTCTGTTGAGGGGACTAGGGGAGGGACAGCGCGGGTAGGGAGGTTGGGGAGGGATAACATGGGAAGAAATGCCAGATATAGGTGAAAGGAGGATGGAGGCAGTAAACCACATTGCCATGTATGTACCTGTGCAACAATCCTGCATGATCTGCACATGTACCCCAGATCCTAAAGTACAATAAATAAATATATATGTAAAAAAAGCAAACCTTAATGGGTGCATTTCAAGAAAAATGAGAAATAACAAAATACATCCAAAAAAGAAAGCCTGTAGATGCCAAAAGCCAAAAGGAATTTATTTAATAACCAAAACTCCCCCATCCCTGCAAATTCATAATTTTGTTAAATTTATTACTAAGTAATATATAGATGATCAAAATATTTGAGGAAAATTACAAAGTATATTTGAAAAACATAAAAGAAGATCAACATAAATGACAAAATATATCTCATTCATGGGTGGCAACACTCACTGTTATAGGATATCATTCTCCAATAATCTATAAATATGACTAATAAATATTCACCAGGACTTTTCACAATATTTGACTAATTCTAACAGTTACATGAAATTATGAAAAATATTTATCCCACTAGAGAGAATTATACTATTATAAAGCTATAGGAATAATAGCTTTATTAGTGCTGTAATGATGCAGGGATAGAGAAGACCAGTGGAGTATTGTGAAGAATTCAGAAACAAATCCAAATGTTTTCAAACTGTTAAAAATGATACAGAAAACATAAAAATCAGAGAAGAAAACACCTCATACCCTTTAGGATGGCCATCATTAAAAAAACTAATAAAGATAACCAGTGTTAGCAAGGTTAAAGAGCAATTGGAATCATTGTAAACCATCGGTAGGAACGTAAAACGGTATAGCTACTATGGAAAACAGTATGGCAGTTCCTCAAAAAATTAAAATAGAATTAGATATGATCTAAAAATTTTACTTCTGAGTATATTCCCAGAAGAAATGAAAACAGGGACTCAGATAGATATTTCCACATCATGTTCAAAGCAGCGTTATTCATAATAGCCAATAGATAGAATCAACCCAAGTGTTCATCTACAGGTCAGTGTGTAAACAAAAGTTGGTATTATTTAGCCTTAAAAAGGAAGGAAATTCTGATGCATTCTACAACATGAAGGAACCTTGAGGGCAGTGTACAAAATGAAATAAGTCTGTCACAAAAAAGACAAATATTCTGAGATTCCACTTACATGAGGTACCTAAAGCAGTCAAATTTATAGAGACAGAAAGTAGAAGGTTGATTACAAGGGATTAGGGAAAGAGGGGAATGGAGAGTTGTTTAATAGATATAGAGTTTCTTTGCAAGATAAAAATTGTTCTAGAGATTGGTTGCAGAGCAATGTGAACATACTAACACTACTGAACTTCATCCTTAAAAATCGTAAATTTTATGTTATGTATATTTTACCATAATTTAAAAAGAAATTTCTAGGTTTTGTTTTCAGTAAAATTTATTTTTTAAAAGAATAAAGTGAAATTTTATAAATGGTGGTGAAACAATTGCATTTTCTTATAGAGAAAAAGTAGATACATTCCTGATATGGTTTGGCTATTTCCCACCTTAATCTCATCTTGAACTGTAGTTCCCATAATCCGCACGTGTTGTAGGTGGGAGGCAATTGAATCATTGGGGCCATTACCTCCAGGCTGTTCTCTTGATAGTGAGTGAGTTCTCACAAGATCTGATGGTTTTATAAGGGGCTTTTCCCCCATTTCACTTGGCTCTCATTCTTCTCCTTCCTGCTGTCATGTGAAGAAGAATATATTTGCTTCCCATTCTGCCTTGATTATAAGTTTCCTGAAGCCTCCCCAGCCCTGCTGAACTACGAGTTAATTAAACCTCTTTTCTTTATAAATTACCCTGTCTCAGGTATGTATTTATTAGCAAAGCGAAAATGGACTAATACAATTCCTTACATCAAATCATATGTAAAAGTAAAGCCCAATGTTATTCAAGACCTAAGCTCAAAAATAAAATTTTAAAACTCTTACAATAAAGTATAGGAGAATATCTTTTTCACCTTGGGAATATGGAAAGGTTTTGAAAAGAAAGCACAAAAAGTACAAAATAAAGAAAAAGATAAATAATTTTGACTATGCCAAATCATAACTTTTATCTGACAATCAAAATGAAATGATAAGCCATAACTGGTGAGAATGTATTAGTAATACTATAAAAATAGTATCCAGAACTTTACACACACACTCATGCATACATACACACTCTTATAAATCAATGAAACAACACATGCACACACTTATAAATCAATGAAAAAACACAAATGAGAAAATGGACAAAGTATATAAACAATTAGGAGAAGAAATCAGAATGGCCAATGCATCTCTACTACAAAAAAATTTTTTTTTTTTTAAATTAGCTGGGTGTAGTGGGATGCACCTGTAGTCCTAGGTATTCAGGAGGCTAAAGTGGGAGGATCACTTGAGCCTGGGAAGTCAAAGCTTTAAATGAGCTATAATTGTGCCACTGTACTCCAGCCTGGGTGACAGAGTAATATGCTGTCTCAAAAAATAAGCAAAAAAATAGCTGAACCAAGCATAAACACATGTTCACATTTGTTATTTTTGGTAATTACTATGGTCTTGAATGTTTGTGTCCCCTCAAAACTCGTATGTTGACATCCTAATCCCCAAGATGATAGTATTAAGAGGTAGAGACTTTGGGAGTGATTAAACCATGAGAGCAGAGCATTCATCAATGAACTAAGTGAAAAGAGAGGCCAAAAGGAGCTTGTTTGCCTCTTCCACCATGTGAGGTCAATGAAGAGGTCACCATCTATGAAGAACAGGTCCTCACAAAACACCAAATCTGCTGGGGCCTTGATCTGGGACTTCCAAGCCTCTAGAACTGTTAGATATTAATATAAGTTTTCTTGTTCATAAGCCACTCAGTTTATAGTATTTTTATTATAGTATCCCAAACTAAGATAATAATTTCATGAATGCTTGCTTTATTATTATTCTATGTACTCTTATATTGTTAACTTTTTAAATTAAAAAGTAAAGGTCCAAGCTACAAAAACAAGGTGGTGAAACAAGGAGAGGCCTTAGGAGACTAAAAGAAAAATGGGAAAATTCTGAAATTATTAAGTAACAGAGGTCTTGGTAAGGCCATAAGCAATTTTGAGGGATTGACAGAATGAAAAGCATACAAATTGAAAACAGCTGGCCAGGCACAGTGGCTCATGCCCATAATCCCAGCACTTCGGGAGGCTGAGGCAGGTGGACCACCTGAAGTCAGGAGTTCAAGACCAGCCTGGGCAACATGGTGAAACCCCATGTCTACTAAAAATTACAAAAATTAGCTGGATATGGTGGCTGGCACTTGTAATCCCAGCTACTCAGGAGGCTGAGACAGGAAGAATTGCTTGAACCCAGGAGGCAGAGATTGCAGTGAGCCAAGATCACACCACTGCACTCCAGCCTGAGTGACAGAGCAAGACTCTGTCTCAAAAAAACATAAAACCAACAAAACCCAAAAACAGCCATTCATGATGGCTCTAACACAATGGTGAGAGAAAAAGATTTTTAGTTTTGTAAAATAGAGTTAAAGCAGTGCCAAAAAATGAATAGATCAAAGAAATAGCCTTAGGGAGTAAAAACAAAGACGATAAAAATATAAAGTCTTGTGCTGTGTGCTAACAAAAATAAAATAATAGGAGCCATGGTCCCTGCACTTTTTAGGAAGATAAAATTCAAAGGGAATTGATTAATCAACGAAATTAGATATCATGCTAATAAGTGAAAAATAAGATGTATTGAGAATATAGGCTATAGAAATTCAGCAGAGAAGAAAAAGATTATGAAGTGGTCCAATATTACATAACAGAGTAAATAACAATTGAGTAGACTCATGAAGGAATAAAGTTTGGACATGGAGAATAGAGAAAGGTAGACTACATTAGGTACAAGCAGAGAATGTGTATAAAAGTATGATGGCACAAATGAGTAGCGTATGTTTGGGGATAGTGGCTGAAAACCAGCCTAACAGGAACAGAAACTAGAAAGCTCTGAGAAATATAGTTGGAGAAGTGGGTGGAGATTCTAAAGGAGAAGATTCTAAAATTTTAACTTACTTGAGACAGGACTGTTAAGGATTTTAAGCAAGGGAGTGTTACTAGAGTATTACTGGAGGAAAATTAATCTGGAAGCATACAAAAAGAGACTAGACGCAAGGAAAAAACCTTGATACTTAGAAAGTAAACTTTCAGGACACTTGTTAGTTTGTGGATGTTTTCACCTATTATTTTTATAAACAAAATGTGTAACATTACCTTCCAGCTTGAGATTTATCCCTCCACATTCTATAATTCCAATGAATTTGGCTTCTATCTGACCATTTTTATAAACAAAAATTGTTGGTAAACAATTGTCATGGTAGTGTTGAATACAGCTATTCACGATGGCTTTAACAAATTTAGTTTCTGGAAACTTTCTTGCTAGAAGACTAAGATGCTGGTTAACCAACAAACACATTGGGATGCTAAAAAGAGAACAATACACACAATCTTTAATAAACAGACTACTCATCTCAGTCTAATGAAAGAAGTAAAATATCTCCATGGCAAAAATATATCTTAGATAGTTTCTAATATAAAAGCACGTTATTATCCTCTATTGTTACCTTTAGCAATGATGAACTGTATGTAGAGTCCTCTGGTTTTGACTGTAAGCACCATTATAGCCGATAATGAAGCTAGCTAATATGGCAAGCTGATGCTTAACTTAGGGAAACTATATCCAAGTGAGCGTCAGTTTAGTTCAAGCAGATTCCCAGTTTGTAGGAAAAAAAAAAAAAACCAGGACAATTCTAGCAAATAATTGGCAGTTCTGAGTTGAAACAAAAGGATCCTAACCCTAATTGCCATCATGAGCTTCTTTCCATGAGTTTGCCACATCCAAAACTGTCTTTCTTGACCTCAACAAACTTCTCCCACAGTCTTTGGAATCCCACTCCATGCCACATCCTGGCGGCCCCATTATCCAGAACTGTACCTTACCAGAAATTTAATATTGATTCGAAGTGTGACCACAACCTCAGTTCTTCCTGCTTTATCACTTAATTCTCACCACACTCCTTGTTCAATTAGTCCCTTTTCTCCCAGTTTATTAAACTATCAAGTGAATCCCTTCACCTCTACTTTATTCCACATTCCTTCCTTCTCCCATGGGACCTTTGTTGGTTACTGTTTCCCTCTTTTCCTGTTTTCTCATCTTTCCTTCTCCAAAGACTCTTTCTCCATTTTACATAAACATATTCAAGTTGGGCTGGCTGTGGTGGCTCATGCCTATAATCCCAGCATTTTGGGAGACCAAGGTGGACAGATAGTTTGAGGTCAGGCATTAAAGACCAGCCTGCCCAACATGGTAAAACCCCATCTCTATAAAAGTATAACAGGTTTCAGGGGCCAAGGGAAAACTTCTTTGCCCTCCGAAGGAAGGTTCACTGAAAGATCGACTAATAAAAGGCAGATTAATTGGAGAAAAGGCACGCAAACTTATTAACATACACAGGAGAGAGGAAACACAAAGTACCCCGAAACCCTCCACTGGGGTACAGAAGCTCATATGCCATCTTGAGGCTAGAGGCTACAGAAGGAATGGAGGCTCTGGAATGGCCAAAAACAGGTTATTGGGGTAAATCAGGTTACAGTGGCAAGACAGGCTATGGGAGGCAGAGAAGAGAAGGCCCGGCTAGCAAAGGTGGCCTTGTTATGTAGATGAAACCTTACATGTAGCAGCCCTCAAAGAGAATAGATGGTAAATGTTTCTTTTAGATCTTTAAAGGCATCAGATTCTCAGTTAACTTTGGTCCTAGATCAGACTAGAGAAGGCCCTCAGAGAAGGCCTGACTGCATGAATGCAGATTTTCTCTGCAGTTGCAAATCTCCCCACCAAAAGGCAGCTTTACAGGGTTATTTTGGTTTGCTGGTCCTCTCAACACTCATCTCAAAATATGTCAAGAAAGTATACCTTAGGGTACAATGTTTTGACTTCCTTCAAGGTGAAATGAGTCCACTAATATCTAATTTAGAGAAATTTTATCATTATCTTTAGAAATTTTATCATAATGAAAGCTCAGGCAGTGGTACAACAGATATTTGTGGGGTGGGTCAGTAGTGTGAATGGCAGAAGGCAGGTAGGCATTGGTGGTGGCAATGAAAAGTATAGAACTAAGAGAATAGTGCATAACAGATTGTGACTCAGGGAGAAAGGGTTGCCCAAAGATAATTCTGATAGCAAGCAGTAGGGCAACAAATTTGGGGGGAGTTCAGGGACAGAATTTTAACCTGAGAAGAGCTGTAAAATATGAGGTAGACCTCTAATATCACAAAACAAGTTAAGAACCTATTTATGGCATTCAAGTTTCAAAATATGTACTTGGGTATAGGAATAATATAAAAGCCCCAAATTAGAATTGGGGTACAGGTATAAGATTAAATAAAACCAGAAACGAGACTGACTACAAGCTAAGTCATTAGGCTTAATGGCCCATGTTGAGTTAGATCCATCTAAGGCACCTTAAGGAGGCTAAGTCTTCATTTGTATAAAAAGTGGGTCTAATCCTATCAATTTAATGGCAAAGAGCCATTGAAATTATAGAATTTAGGAGCCTAATAAAAAAAAAAAAACACTACCCTTTTATAAAATTGATAGAAAGTAGCCAAAAATGAAACCACCATTGCAAAAAATTTTAACAGTGAGAGAATTATGATAGTGAAAGAGATCTGATCTAACCAACCCCTATCTTCCCTTTAACCTCTAAACTGCCTTGAATCATTCCTGGGCTTGGGCTAAGCTAACCTTGGGAGAAATTCAGTTTATAATTTAAATGATAATAGCCTTTCCCCAAAACCAAACCACGTTTGTAAAGTTAAAGGAAGATTAGGTTAGGAGGATGAGAGGAGCCTGAATTCTGCTAAGATACACACTTAAACAATTACCAGCCATTATTTTGGAGGTCACAAGGTTTGCAACTTCCTCAATTACTCCTGCAGATAACATCACTATTATAGAACCTAAGATTGGCCTTTTTGATATATCTTTTTTGGGGTTTTTGCATTTCTGATGACTGATGCCTCTACCTGGACCGACCAAGAAGTCCTGTGGTCCCACCCAGAAGTAGACTTAGCACTCATGAGGACTGTATTAGTCCATTCTCATGCTGCTAATAAAGACATACCCAGGACTGGGTAATTATAAAGGAAAGAGGTTTAACTGACTCACAGTTCAGTATGGCCAGGGAGGCCTCAGGAAACTTACAATCAGGGTAGAAGGGGAAGCAAACACAAACACATTCCTCTTCACATGGCAGCAGCAAGGAGAAATGCTGAGCAAAAGGGGAAAAGCCCCTTATAACCATCAGATCTCATGAGAAATCACTCATTATCACAAGAACAGAATAAGGGTAACTGCCCCCATGATTAAATTACCTCCCACCGGGTCCCTCTACAGTTCAAGATGAGATTTGAGTGGGGACATAGCCAAACTATATCAAGGACCATTTTCCACATCCCTGTGATTGTATTCCCAACCAATCAGCAGTACCCATTCTATGGTCTGGCAAACTATCCTTAAAAAACCCCAACCCCTAAATTTTGGGGGAGGCTGATCTGAGTAATAAAACTCTGGTTTCCTGTTCAGTTGACTTTGTGTGAATTAAACTCTTTGTTGTAATTCCCCTGTCTTGATAAATTGGATCTATGTGGAGGGCAGGCCAAAACCTGCTGGGTGGTTACCAAAATGTAAATTGACAGTTATCCTTCAACTTTGCAATATTAAAAGCTGTAAGTAAATCCATTGTTTTTTGTTTTTTTGTTTTTGTTTTTGTTTTTATTGAGACCGAGTCCCTCTCTTGCCCAGGCTGGAGTGCAGTGACATGATCTTGGCTCACTGCAACCTCTGTCTCTTGGGTTCAAATGATTCTCTTTCTCAGTGTCCCAAGTAGCTGGGATTATAGGGAAACACTACCATGCCCATCTAATTTTTTTGTACTTTTAGTAGAAACACAGTTTTGCCATGTTGGCCAGGCTGGTCTCAAACTCCTGACCTCAGGTGATCCGCCTGCCTTGGCCTCCCAAAGTCCTGGGATTACAGGCATGAGCCACCATGCCCAGCCAGTAAATCCATTGTTAAAAACTAGTTTTCTAAAGAATATTTGTAACACAATTATTTTCTGTTGTATTTTATAAATTCGGATTACAGATTAATTTTTAAAATGTATGTTTTATACAAACACAGGAATATATTTTCTTAATGTCCAGAAAACTAATAAATAACTACTTTAGAGTAGCCCAAAAAAACCTTCTAAGAAGGTCACAAATACTTAAAATATTATGAAACCACATCCTTCTTTTTGAGTCTATCAAAGCATATGATAATTTGAAGCAGACTAAAACACATTCAACCTCTTTATGATTTTTTAAGATTTCTAAAATCTAGTAATTTATCTGGAAAAAATAACCATTAAAGGAGATAATTTTACTTAGAAGAAATATCTACTCTGTAAACCACAAAGGGTCAGAAAAAACATTCAGTGAACCACTTCGGTATATAATATTTACCACAAACAAATCCCAGTTTTGTAAATGTCAGTGTTTCTCATCCTTATTTGTGAGACTTATAAGGAGCATTTACAAACTGGTTAACTAAATAAATAGTAGATGTAATATGGAAGTGTGATTTGAGGAAATAACTTTTATCTAAAGAATGCAAGTCCCTTTAAATGTTTACACCCACAGAGTCATTAAAATGAGACAGCAGGCTAGGCACAGTGGTTCACACCTGTAATCTCAATAATTTGGGAGGCTGAGGCAGGAGGATTGCTTGAGGCCAGGAGTTCAAGACTGGTCTGGGCAACAGAGCAAGACCCTATTTCTACAAAAAATTTTAAAAACTTAGCCGAATGTGGTATGCAAACCTGTAGTTCAAGCTACTTGGAGGACTGAAACAAGAGGATCATTGCTGCAGCCCATGCATTCAAAGCTGCAGTGAGCTATGATCGTCACTGCACTCCAGCATGGGAGACACAGTGAGACCCTGTCTCAAAAAAAATAGAGAGAGAGAATCACAACTTACACCCTCCTTGACCTATGTATTCATCTCTTGAAACTGCTTGCTATTGCTTCCAAGTAGCTATAAATTAACCCAATAATACATCAGACGTTGTAACTTTTATCGATTAACAGTGTATAGCCAATCACTAATTAAGGTTATTTCCTTAAGCCAACGAGAATTCCTGACAAAAAACTTTCTATCAGTCCACTCCCTGTCCTCCTTTTATGTCTTCACAGACCTGCTCATAACAAAGGCTAAAGGGAGGTTATATCCAAGGTTACTTAGGTTTAGCCTTCTGGGCAGCTATCCTCACTTTGGCTCAAGTAAACTCTTTAAATTATATTTGGTGCCCAGTCTCTTCCTTTTAGGTCAACACATTCTTTTTTTTTTTTCTTTTTTTGAGACGGAGTTTCGCTCTTGTTACCCAGGCTGGAGTGCAATGGCGCGATCTCGGCTCACTGCAACCTCCGCCTCCTGGGTTCAGGCAATTCTCCTGCCTCAGCCTCCTGAGTACCTGGGATTACAGGCACGCACCACCATGCCCAGCTAATTTTTTGTATTTATAGTAGAGACGGGGTTTCACCATGTCGACCAGGATGGTCTCGATCTCTTGACCTCGTGATCCACCCACCTTGGCCTCCCAAAGTGCTGGGATTACAGGCTTGAGGCACCGCGCCCGGCCAACACATTCTTTTTAAGAGTTTAAAGGTATTTAAAAATTAATCTACCAAGACTTTGAGTTATAATGAAATAACTTTTATGGGGCGTTTTCTTTTATGGGGCATGTTGTCCTATCAAAATTTGACTCAGGAACTGCAAATTATAGCCCTATACAGGCTACACAGGGCTATATACAGGGTTATAATTTGCATAACTTGCTCTGTCATAATTTCCCCAAGGACCTAAAGAGAAAAAAATTTATTATTCAGAGATTGAGATAAGGACAATGAGGTTGCTGTCATGGCCTCTGTCCCTGGAATGGTTATAGCCCTGAGGCAGAAGGGTAGGGACCTAAAGCTAGAAGGACTGTTTGAATGAGAGAAACAGAGTTGGGGAAAAGTCTACTTTCCCCAACTACTAGGCAAGACTGCTGAGGCCTAGGGACAGTGGGTTATACTTAGTACAACCAGGCATTTTTAAATTAACTGTCTTGGAGGAATGGGGGAGTACAGGGGTGCAAAGGTGCAGGGGAATTGTTCTATTAGAAGAGACTTAAAAGAGATGATATATCTAAATGTGCTGCATAATTCTTGATTGGCTCCTTGTCCAAAAACATATGTATTTATAAAAGATATTTTTAAGTCAATTGGGAAAATCTGAGTAAGGATGCGGTATTAGATGTTATTAGGAATTAATGTTAATTTTGTTAGGTGAGAAAATGGTATTGTGGTTATGTAGAAGAATGCTCTTGAAGGGATTCATAGCATGCCACACTGAAATATGCCACTCTGGCATAAGGATTATTTTGAGCTAAAGGCAACTGAGAAGAAACAGACACAAGAAAAATCTTCTCCACACAGTAACATCCTCCCTCCTCTCTCAACCAGGAAGGGCAGGACACTGTTAATCACTGGATAACGCTCTAGATTCTTACTATCCCAGTGAGGCACCAGAGGAATCTATATAACAAACCTTGCTAAAATAACATTTAATTTTCATTCATTTCACCCATGTATTTACCATTCCACAGTTTGTTACTCCTAGAATCTCAAAGACCCTTTCTGTTGTCTTGTTACTTCACTACAAATTTGCTGTCCTTTTGTTAAGATGCTATATAAGCCCAAGTTCTAACCACTCCTTTAAATTACTTATCACTGAGCTCTCTCACGTGTATGTGTAATGCATTTGTTAATAGACTTCTGTTTGTTTTTCTCTTGATAACCTGTCTTTTGTCAGTCTAATTTGCAGGGCCAAGCCAATAAACTTAAAATGGGTAGAGGAGATAGAATTTTTTTTCTTTCCAACACCTTTATGTTTTGAAGGTGCACACTGAAGTACACAGGAATAAATTATCATGCCATATTCAGTTTACTTTGAAATGGTTCTACAAATGCAAATATACACATACACAGAAACAATTATATAAATACAGCAAAATGTTACTTGTTGAATCTATCTGGTTGATATTTAGAGTGTTCATTTTCTCATTCTTTCTACTTCTCTGTATTTTTGAGATTTTCTACAATAAAAAGTTTTTAACTACTACAAAAGAATGCTTATCTTTCTAAAAAGTGTGACAACTTCCTTATATTAGAAATGAAAAGATCTTAAAATACCTAATTAAATTCCTGAAGCCAATGACTATCAAAAACTCTATGGATGTATGTATATGTAATACACAGTTTCTTTTTCTTAAGTACTATTATATACTTTGTAAAACTTTAAACCAAACATATGTTTTTTAAAATAGTAGTATATTAACATTTTGAAATACTATGGTAATTACCTTGATCTGTATAGATGAATTATAACCCACACATCTTTTTCTGCATTTGTGACTTCATTTACATACTGATTTCCAGAAATTTCTCTTAATTCTCCAAATTTTTGTTTTTTCTTAAGAGCTCTCCATTCCTGTAACCGCTTCTTTCTAATTAAAACATGAAATTTAATTACTTAAGAATATTCTCATATTCTTAAGGTCATTCTGATATGTAGTAACAATTTAGGGCAATGAATATAATGCCTATACATATCAAACACTTTAAATGATGAGATAACTATGAATGATCTTATAAAGCCAATTTCTCTTTTTATATGCAAATTTGTGTTATGGATATTGGAAAGTATAAGAAGTTTGGTATCAACTTTTAAATTTGTATTTAAGACTAGGTTTAAATCATAGCTATAGAGAGTTTATCTAGATGTTGTGCCAACAAATTCTCATGTACAGGCTGAATACTTCATTAAGGAGAATAATGATATCCAACATTTACCAAGTGCTTGCTATGTTGCCAGGCACTATTTTAAATACATAACATTAATGAACTTAATCCTTGTAAAAATGTTACAAAGCAAGTATTATTATTATCCCCATTTAAATGTTAGTAACTATCATGCTAAGACAATCTTTACTTTGAAGACTTTGTGGATATTTGTAATTACTTGTTATATATATAGATTTATTATAGACAGAGAGGTAGTACTGGAGAGTGATTATGAGTTTGGATTATAAGGTCAGACTAAACTGGGTTTAAATGCCAGTTCCAGTACTTGTTAATAGCATAAACTTGGGCAAGTTATTTAATCTCTCTATACTTCAGTTTCCATAATTGTACATGGGAATAATACTAATAACTACTTACAAAGGATTATTGGGAAATAAATAATACATGTACATTTCTTAGCAGGGTGTCTGACACACTGTGAGCATTCAATAAATGTTTACCTATTTATCTATCCATAGCGAACCTCAAAACTTTGTTTAAAAAAACCAACTCTCTCAACATTTACATACTTTGACAATTTCGCTGTTGAACACCTGGATTCATGAAGCAAATCTAAATGGTTTCTGACATGTCTGCAAGTTTATTAACATTTAATGATTCTATAGCTCTAAGTTTGCTGGGAGTATTTACCCTCTTTCTTTCTCTGTGTATTAACCATATTTTCTTATTTTACGTATTCTCGATGCTCTGCCATCTGGCGCATTGCTGATTCTGTAGAGTCTGCCCCTCCCAGGGCTAGCAAACTCCAGGAGATAACAAACACTTTTTAAACACAAACCAACCAATCTAGGGCTCACATCATCAATCACCTCCTTTATCAGACTGAGCCACTATTCCCTGCCATAATCATCCCAGGGCCAGGTACCAAACAACTAGAGATAGCCCCTATATCCCAGAGCCCACCAAAATTATTGAAACTAGCCAATCCTAATTTTGTTTACCCTGCCTAGTCTTGTTTTTCCCATACAAACCACAATAAAAGCATTATGCCCATGCTTTTTCCTTGCTCCTTCTGACTCCTGATCAATTCAGGTGCTTCACTGCATGGCCTCGGTGTGGCATGATGTGGCATGCACCCTTGCAGTTGGAAACTGTGAGTAACCAACTCTCCTTTCAGTAGCAACTGTCTCCTGACACACTTGAATAAAGACAAAACCTGGGAATATTTAAAACATTCTGACCTTATTTCACATGCTAGAAATATATCAAGTAAAACCTCTTACTTTACATAACCAGTAATCCAAGCAAAATCAAATCTAGGGGAGAATGCCAAGGATAGTAACCCAAGGCTGGGGGACCTCTCATAGTTTTCAAATTGAAATCCGTCAATTTTTCTCCACTGGCCCAGGTATTTGCAACCTAAAGTTATTCCACAATTCTTCTGAGAGCCCTACTTTGTTTGCACCAAGTATCTAATTTCTCTCAACCGGCTTAATATCTTTCAGAAATTTCAAAACATTTTTGTCCCAATGATGACACTATGCTCTACTTAATGGTACAACTATCAACGACTTCTCTTCCTCCTCCCCTCTTCCACTTCTTCCTTCTTCTCATTTGTCTTTGTTACTTCAATGGAATTGGGCAGGGGAGAACAGTAAACACATGGGCTAGTTTTGCCATTAGGAGTTCATACAGTGTTCAATGGCCTGCCTTTTTCACCTAACAATCCTATCAGTTGGGATTCAGTTGCATAAACAGAAAGCTCACTAGCCATTTTAAGCAGACAGGAGCTTAATATGGAAAATTAAATGTTTTACCAATTCAATTAAAGGACACAAGGAGCAGGCTCTAGACCTGGCTACCAGGAATGACTCCTAGAACAACATGCAAAACTGGCCTGCCAAGGCTCTACCACAATCTGGAAACTAGGGAATCTAGAACTACGACTCCATTGTTGGCTCTAGTACCAAACTATCCTGAGAATCAGAAAGCCAGTGTAACAGCTTTTGTCTCTAGAAGCCTATCTTCTTAGTAATAATCTGAGGATGAGAAACTGTTGCCAAAATAATGGCTCCATTGGATACTATACTCCATACCTGGATGATCACATCAATCATATCCCAAACCTCAGCATCATGCAATGTACCTGTGTAACAAACCTTCATGTGCATTCCCTGAATCTACAATAAAAGTTGAAATTATAAAATAAAAAAAAGAATAATGGCCTGAAAACCATGATGCAAATTCTAGATTAGTACCAGCTAAATGGATGCTTTGTGTATTTCTACTTCTTTCCACACTTAATTTAGTTCTGAATTCACATCCCTGGTAAATGTCTAAATCACATTATTTACCTTTACTACAGTAAAGTCTGAGAAATATCATTTTAGGTTTTTAGCTTCCATGGTACTGGAATACCCCAAAGGAAAGGGGGGCACATGTCAAAAAGGCCAATTTAGTATTATATGCCACAAACAATATACTACAGAATTGTTTATTGCTATGTATACATTTTTTCATCCTTTTAGCTAGAAGAGCTTCTGAGCTGACTCACTTGTTATTTTATAGCAAATCATCTACATAATAATCTTTGTCTCTTCTTTTTTGAATATTACATCTTTTTTTTTTTTTAAATCTTGTCCTAAGGCACTGGCTAGGACCTATTGCAGGTGTCCCCAAACTACGGCCCGCGGGCCACATGCGGCCCCCTGAGGCCATTTATCCGGCCCCCCGCCGCACTTCAGGAAGGGGCACCTCTTTCACTGGTGGTCAGTGAGAGGAGCACAGTATGTGGCGGCCCTCCAATGGTCTGAGGGACAGTGAACTGGCCCCCTGACCTATAGTATGATGTTTAATAACAGAGATGAGGTGGGATGTGGTGGCTCAAGCCTGTGATCCCAGCACTCTGGAAGGCCAAGGTGGGCAGATCACTTGAGGTCAGGAGTTTGAGATCAGCCTGGCCAACAAGGTAAAATTCTGTCTCTGTCAAAAAATACAAAAATTAGCCAGGCATGGTAGCATGCACATGTAGTCCCAGCTACTCAGGAGACTGAGGCAGGAGAATTGCTTGAACCCAGGAGACAGAGGCTGCAGTGAGCTGAGATTAGGCCACTGTACTTCAGCCAGGGCCACAGAGCAAGACTCTGTTCCCCGCTACCACCAAAGAAAAAAACAGATGATAGTGAACAATTCATCTTTTTCTCATAATAGTAACTTTTAATGTTTGTTAAAATTTTTATCAAGTAAGAAAAATTCCATTACTTTAGCTTACCACTAGTTTTTAAAAAATATTTTCTTGCTGTTTTGTTTTTACTTTAAATGAGGAATTTGCTTTAAATCAGCACCAGCAAGGTAAGTACAGAATTTCTTAAGAACAAGTAATATTTTTAAACATTACAGGTTCAGGTACAGAAGTGAAAATAATGCCATAATTTGGTGGCACCTGAATTTGTGATTTTGATGTGGAATATGCAAATAAAAGAATTTCTATTTATGGCATCTCTCTTTAATCTCTATGGTAGAGACAGGTAGGGTGATCATCATTATAGCTTTCTCTTCTGGGGAAGCTACATTTACTTGGAAGACTACATTTGCCAGCTTGTCTCACAGTTGGATTAGGATCATGAGACTAGATTATAGGCCATGGCACATGAGTGAAAGTGATACATACATTTCGATGACTCATCCCTAAAATGCCGCACGTGATCTTTCACACTGTCTTTCTGATCCACACAACTAGAGGTAAAGGTTTCTGAAATTATGTAGCCCCTAATGAAAACAGCCCCGGTCCATAGTCATCACCTGGGAGAGAGCTGCTCAGGAGAACTATAGGATAAGCATCAAAGAGTTGTGTAACCATCACCACTACCTAATTCAGAACATTTTCATCACTCCATAATAAACCCATATCTATTCACAGTTACTCCCTATCCCCCATCCCAAGCTCTGGTAACCAATAATCTGTGTTCTGTCTCTGTGACTTTTTGCACTGGTTTCTTCCCCCTAGCATGTTTTCCTCCATATTGTAGAACATATTGGTACTTCAATTCATTTCATTTATGGCTGAATAATATTCCACTGTATTGATATATCACTTTTGGTTATCTATTCTTCAACTGATGACATTTGGATTGTTTCCATTTTGGGGTTATTGTGAGTAATGTTTCTATGCCATTCCTATATGTGTTTTGAATTCTCTTGGGTATATATCTAGAAGTAGAATTGCTAACTTTATGTTTAACTTTTCGAGGATCCACCAGATTGTTTTTCAAAGTGGCTGTACCATTTACATTCCCAATGGCAATTCACAGGGTTCTCATCCTCACCAACTTATTTATTATAACCACCTTAGTGTGTATGAAGTAGTCTGCCATAGAGGCGTCTTCCCTAACTCCAGTAGTTAGTGTCAGAATTGAAATGAACTGTAGAACACCCAGTTGGTGTCCAGGAAGTTGGAGAATTGGTTGTGGGGGACCCTGCTACATTTCATGCTGGAAGTGGTATAAGTAAAACACACCAGAGGAACTAAAAACTACAGTAACTGACATAAAATAGTACATTGGAGATTTCAAAAGCAGATTTGGGGAAGCAGAAGAATCAGCAACCTTGAAAATAGGAAAACTGTAATGATCAAATCTGAGGAACAGAAAAAAAAGAATGAAAAAATAAATAAATAGTGCCTAAAGAGTCTATGGGATGATATCAAGCAGATCAACATACATGTGTGCATCTTAACAGAAAAGAGACAGAAAATAAGCATAAAGAATATTTTAAGCAATAATGGCTGAAAATTTCCCAAATTTAATGAAATACATGAATTGATATATCTAAGACCAACAAACTCCAAGTATAAACTCAAAGACACCCACACGGGGATACATGCCTCCCAAAGTGCTGGGATTGCTGAGGCCATTGTGAGATGTTAATTTTTATCCTTAAGGTAAAAACAAAAAGATACACATAAAATGAAAGAAGAAGGAAATAAAAAATGCTACACTACAGCTAACTGCAAAAAGAAAGTAGTAATAGAAGACTTAAGAAAACAAAAATTATATAAAAAATACAGAAAACACCTAAGTAGCAGAAGCAACTCTTTTCTTAATTTTTTTTTTTTTTTTTTTTTTTTTTTTTTTTGAGACAGAGTCTCACTCCATCACCAGGTGCCAGGCTGGAGTGCAATGGTGCGACCTTGGCTCACTGCAACCTCCACCTCCCGGGTTCAAGCAATTCTCCTGCCTCAACCTCCCGAGTAGCTGGGACTACAGGCACGTGCCACCACGCCCAGCTAATTTTTTTGTATTTTTAGTAGAGATGGGGTTTCACCATGTTGGACAGGAAGGTCTCAATCTCTTGACCTCATGATCCGCCTGCCTCGGCCTCCCAAAGTGCTGGGATTACAGGCATGAGCCACTGCACCGGGCCAGCAACTCCTTTCTTGACAGTACTTACTTTAAATGTAAGTGAATTTTAAATTAATGTGATTAATCTCCAGTTAAAGGCAAAGATTGGCAAAATGAATTTTTTAAAAAGTGTGTTCCAGGTTTCTCAGGCTTCTTCTCCATTTTTTTTTCTTTTTTGAGACAGAGTCTCGTTCTGTTGCCCAGGCTGGAGTGCAGTGGCATGATCTCAGCTCACTGCAACCTCCGCCTCTCAGATTCAAGCAATTCTCCTGCCTAAGCTGCCCAAGTAGCTGGGATTACACGTGCATGCTGCTATGCCCAACTAATTTTTGTATTTTAGTAGAGGCGGAGTTTCACCATTTTGGCCAGACTAGTCTTGAACTCCTGACCTCAAGTGATCCGCCTGTCTTGTACTCCCAAAATGCTGGGATTACAGGCATGAGACACTGCACCTGGCCTTCTCAGGTCTCTTTTATAAGAGCACTAATCCCATTCATGAATGGGGAGCCCTCATGACCTAATCACCTCCCTGAGGCTCTACCTGTTAATGCCATCACCTTGCGGGGGTTAAATTTCAATATATGAATTTAGGAAGGGACACAAACATTCAGACCACAGCACCATCATTTAGTGGTTTTTATGGAAGTTTTATTAGATAGGCATGATTGATTAAATCATTGGCCACTGGTGATTAACTCGATCTCTAGGCCCTCTGCCCTCTGCCCTCTCCTGTCTCCAGAGAGCAGGGAATAGTGTTAAAAGTCCTAATCTTCTAACCACATGATTGTTTCCTCTGGGAACCATCCCTCATCCTAAAACTACGAGTATGTCTATGTCGGGAACTGGGGACAAAGACCAAATATGTATTTCTTCTTATCACAGTTCCAGAATATATTTTATTCCTGTTTATAACTTCTATTTCATTATTGCTATTCTCTTTTTGATCATTTATTATATTCCTGTCTTTTTAGCTCTTTAAGCATCTGTAAGATGTCTTAAAGTCTCTGTCTAGCTAGTCTGACTTCTGGGCTTCCTCAGGTACATTTTCTCTCAGTATATTTTGTTCCTTTGAACACACAACTTTCTTGTTGTGTGTGCCTTGTAATTTTTGTTGAAAACTAGACATTTGAATCCTATAATGTGGTAATTTTGGAAATAAGCTTCTCCTCCTTTGCCAGGGTTTTGTTTTTGTTTTTGTTTTAATTGTTGTAGGCTGTCTTTGTGCTGGAGATCATTTTAGTTGGGAAACAAGTTGCGAAATGTATGAATCTGTTCTAATTTCTAAAATAATTTGTTTAAGAATGGTAATTAATTCTTCATGAAATGATAGACACCTTTGACAGACATCATGCTAGAAGGAAAATCATGGCCATCTTTTTATTGGCCTCTTATTGCTATTTTCTACTTTAATAATATGTAGCTTGAAGTTATATATCATTGCATAATTTTCTACTAAAGGCAAAATATTAAGAAAAAATGATATAATGATGTAATAAAATTTCACCTTATATAAAGGGAGTTTCAAAATGTTACTTAAAAATTAGTGTTGTTCTTTGTAAAATCTATTCAACAAATCTCTTAGTCTTATTCTTATAATACTTCAAAAATTTATAACTAACGCAAATGAATCGCTGTACCTATATGTTTCAATAGCTTGCATATCTTCTTCATCAAATTCATCTTCAGCTTCCTTCAGCTGTGCAAGAGTCATCTTTTCAAATGGTTTAACTAAAACAACATAAATTATAGATTATCAAACGGTTAAATTTTTTTTTTATATTACCGTCAATGTCTAGAAAAAACTGTCTTAGATAAAGAAAATTAAGAGTATCTTTAAACAGCTAGGCGTGATAGCTCACACCAGTAATCCCAGCACTTTGGGAGGCTGAGGTGGGTGGAACACTTGAGGTCAGGAGTTCAAGACCAGCCTGGCCAACATGGTGAAACCCCATCTCTACTAAAAATACAAAATAGTCAGGTGTGGTGACAGGCACCTGTAATCTCAGCTACTCTGGAGGTTGAAGCAGGAGTATCACTTGAATCTGAAAGGCAGAGGTTGCAGTGAGCAGAGATTGTGCCGCTGAATTACACCCTGGGCAACAAAGTGAGACTCTGTCTCAAAAAGTAAGAGTATCTTTAAACAAACATAAAGCAGTCAGCCACCAATAAAAAACCTATACTAGAAAGTATAACATTAAAGTATTATTTCCTCAAGGTTCACAGAACTGACAGGCTACATTTAAAACTAGGTATGAAAACCAATTTGACTCCATAAATTCAGATTTCCCTCAAGTATCCAGAAATCTTGATAAATAATACATACTCTAAAGAATGATCACAATAGATGGTAATCACAAGGTAGAGAGACATGGTGGGAGAAGAAAGCTTACTAGGTTACACACCAGGATACGTCAGCTCTGTTATCAACTAGCATGTGATTTTCAACATGTAAATTAGTCATTTTAGGTGTCCCATCCAAATACTGAATAGGTAGGGTTTATATTAAATGATTTCTAATGTCTTCTCTCCCACTATGTTCATGAAATACCTTACTACTACCTTAACTGTATTAATCCCATCATCCAGCCCAGCAAATGTACAACTATACCCATTGCTTCTTTCTGTAAACGTAAAACCATTTCTTCAATTTCATCTTTTGGCTCTTCTTTAGGAGGTAGAATGCCAAAGTCTCTTAAAATGTCATTCCATTCTGTATCTTCATTGGGATCCTACACAAAAAGAAAAGAAAATTAACATGGTTGTACACTTTAATATGTATTTGGAAAATTCATTGACATGTAGCACATTCAATTGTTCATGAACTCTACAGTTAATTAGTTTTGAAGAATAAAGCAAAGTGACCTACTTTTTCCTACTTCCCAGCACTAATGGGATTATATGCTTCACTGAAAAGTTTAATAAAATGTCAATTTAGAACACATATATAGAATATTAAGGAAGTATCTTCTAAGTCATGGAAAATTTGCTGATGGCTATATTAGGCAAAACCAATTAACATCATACACAAATAAACTTTGGTTTCTTTTACTACATATGCATTCAAGACCACCAGATGCATTTACTTTTTTTTTGGAGAGAAAGTCTCCCTCCACCAACGAGGCTAGAATGCAGTGGCACAATCTTGACTCACTGCAACCTCCACCTCCTGGGTTCAAGCAATTCTCATGCCTCAGCCTCTGGAGTAGCTGAAACTATAGGCTGGCTCCACCATGTCCAGCTAATTTTTTCTATTTTTATAGAGTTTCCCCATGTTGCCCCAGCTGGGCCTGAGCTTCTCGTCTAAACTGATCCTCCCTCCTTGGCCTCCCAAAGTGCTGATTATCTTTGCTAATTCTAAACTTGCATTGTTTTCTTGCTACTGTTATTTGAGTTCCATATATATTTTAAGTAGTAACGCCATGTCAAGTGTATTGCTTGTAAATATTTTCTCCCAGATTGTCTCTTCACTTGGTCAACTGTTTCCTTTGCTGTGCAGAAGCATTTTAGTTTGATGTAATCTTACTTGTCTATTCTTGCTTTTGTTGCCTGAGCTTGGGGGATTAAATCCAAAAATTCACTGCTTGGACCAACAGTGTGTAGTTTTTCCTCTGTGTTTTCTTCTTGTATCATATTTTCACAATTTCAGGTCTTACATTTAAGTCTTTAATCCATTTTTAGTTGATTTTTATAGACGGAGCAGGATAAGGGTCCAATTTCATTCTTCTGTATGTAGATATCCTGTTTCCCAGCATCCATTACTGAAGAGACTGTCCTTTACCCCATTGTGTGTTCTTGGCCCCTTTGTCAAAAATCAATTGACTGTAAGTAAATGTGTGGATTCATTTTTAAGTTCTCCATTGGTCAATATCTATTTTTATGCCAGTACAATGCTGTTTTGATTACAATGGCTTTGCAATATAGTTTGAAGTCAGGCAATGTGATGCCTCCAGTTTTTTTTTTTCTTCTTCTTCTTCTTTTTTTTTTTTTTTTTTTTTTTTAATGGAGTCTTGCTGTGTTGCCAGGCTGGAGTACAGTGGTGTGATCTTAGCTCACTGCAATCTCTGTCTCCTGGGTTCAAGCAATTCTCCTGCCTCAGGCTCCTAAGTAGCTGGGACTACAGGCATGCACCACTACGCCCAGCTAATTTTTTTTTGTAGAGACAAGGTTTAACCAGGTTGGCCAGGATGATATCAATCTCTTGACCTCGTGATCCACCTGCCTCAGCCTCCCAAAGTGCTGGGATTATAGGCATGAGCCACCACACCCAGTCTTCCAGTTTTCTTCTTTTTGCTCAAGATTGTCTTAGCTATTCAGAGGTTTTTGTAGTGCCATATGAATTTTAGAATTTTTTTCTACTTCTGTATAAAAGGGCATAATGGAATCTTGATAAGGATTGTATGGAATCTGTAGATTGCTTTGGGTAATATGAACACTTTAACACTAATTAATTCTTTCAATCCATGAACATGGAATATCTTCCTATTTATTTGTGTCTTCTTCAAAAATACCAATAGTTTATCATTTTCAGGCTACAGATTTTTCACACCCTTGATTAAATTTATTTCTAAGTATTTACTTTTTTGTAAATATTATAAATGGGATTATTTTCTTGATTTCTTTCTCTGATAGTTCACTGTTAGTGTACCGAAATGCTACTAGTTTTTGTTGTTGTTGTTTGAGACAGAGTCTTATTCTGTCGCCCAAGCTGGAGTGCAGTGGTGCGAACTCAGCTCACTGCAACCTCTGCCTCCTGGGTTCAAGCAATTCTCCTGCCTCAGCCTCCTGAGTAGCTAGGACTAGAGGTGCCCACCACCTTGCCCAGCTAATTTTTGTATTTTTAGTAGAGATGAGGTTTCATCACGTTGGCCAGACTGGTCTCAAACACCTGGCTTCAAGCAGTTTACCCACCTTAGCCTCCCAAAGTGCTGGGATTACAGGCATGAGCCACCACACCTGGCCAGAAATGCTACTAGTTTTTATATTGATTTGGTATCCTGTAACTTTAATGTATCCATTTATTAGTTCTAATAGATTTTTGGGGGGCTTTTAGGGTTTTATATATACAAGATTACATCATCAGCAAACTGCAACAATTTCACTATTTCCTTTCCTGTTTGGATGCCTTTTATTTATCTTCCTTTATTGCTCTGTCAAAGACTTCTGGTACTATATTGAATACACAGTGAGAATGGGCATTCTTGTCTAAGAAAAAAAGCTTTAAACCTTATCACTGAATATGATATCATCTATAGGCTTGTCATATATGCCTTTATTGTATTGAGGTACATTCTTTCTATACCTAATTTGTTGCAAGTTTTTATCATGAAAGGACATTAAATTTGGTTGAATGCTTTTCTGCATCTAACAAGATGATATGATTTTTGTCCATAATTATGTTAATGTGGTATGTCACATTTGTAGATTTGCATATGTTGAAACATCCTTGCATCCATAGGATAAGTCTCATTTAATTGTGGTAAAACATCCTTTTAATGTGCTGTTGATTTTAGTTTGCTAGTATTTTGTTGGGGGTTTTTACATCTATGTTCTTCTGAGATAATGGCTTATAATTTTCTCTTCTTGTAATGTCCAGGTCTGGCTTTGATTATCAAGGTAATGTTGACCTCATTAAAAACTTTAGGGCCAGGTGCAGTGGCTCACGCCTGTAATCTCAGCACTTTGGGAGGCAAAGGTGGCCAGATCACTTGAGGTCAGGAGTTTGAGACCAGCCTGGCCAACACGGTGAAACTCTGTCTTTACTGAAAATACAAAAATTAGCTGGGCACAGTGGCAGGCACCTGTAATCCCAGCTACTTGGTAGACTGAGGCAGGAGAATCACTTGAACCCAGGAGGCAGAGGTAGCAGTGAGCTGAGATCATGCCACTGCACTCCAGCCTAGGAGACAGAGTAAGACTCTGCCAAAAGAAAGAAAGAAAGATTTAGACATATTACCTCCTTTTCTATTTTCAGAAGAGTTTAAGAAGGATTGGTATTAGTTTTCCTTGCAATGTTTGGTAGAATTTACTGGTGAAGCCATCAGGTCCCGGAATTTTTTTCAATAGGAGACTTTTAATTTTTTTATTCAATCTCTTTATTTGTTATTGGTCTGTTTAGATTTTGCATTTTTCCTTGATCCACTGTTGGTAGGCTATATGTGTTTAGGGATTTCTCCATTTATTCTAGGTTATCCAGTCCATTGGCATGTAACTGTTCATACTAATCTCTTATAATGCTTTGTATTTCTGGGGTATCAGCTGTAATGTCTCCTCTTTTGTTCCTGATTTTATTTTAGCTTTCTTTCTTTTTCTTTTTTTTTTAAATAAAGTTGGGGTTTCACCATGATAGCCAGGCTGGTCTTGAACTCCTGACCTCAGGTGATCCACCCACCTTGGCCTCCCAAAGTGCTAGGATTACAGGCACGAGCCACTGTACCCGGCCAGCTTTCTTTATTCTTAGTATAGCTAAGGTTTTGATTTTATATTTTCAAAAAACCAATGATTGATTTGATTTTGTTGATTTTTAAATATTTTTTAGTCTTTGTTTCATATATGTCTGCTGTTTATTATTTATTTCCTTCTGATAACTGTAAGCTTAGTTTGTTCTTTTTTGTCGTAGGCATTTATTGCTATGCATTTCCATCTTTTTTTTTTTTTTTTGAGACGGAGTTTCGCTCTTGTTACCCAGGCTGGAGTGCAATGGCACGATCTCGGCTCACCGCAACCTCCGCCTCCTGGGCTCAGGCAATTCTCCTGCCTCAGCCTCCTGAGTAGCTGGGATTACAGGCACGCGCCACCATGCCCAGCCAATTTTTGTATTTTTAGTAGAGATGGGGTTTCACCATGTTGACCAGGATGGTCTCGATCTCTCAACCTCGTGATCCACCCACCTCAGCCTCCCAAAGTGCTGGGATTACAGGCTTGAGCCACCGCGCCTGGCCCTGCATTTCCCTCTTAAATCTGCTTTTGCTGCCTTCTATCAGTTTTGTTGTAGTTCCATTTTTGTTTTCTTCAACACATTTTAAAATTTCTCTTCTGATTTCTTCTTTGACCCATTGGTTGTTTGTAGCATATTGTTTAATATCCACATATTTGTTAGTTTTCAAGATTTCTCCTGCTACTCATAATAGAAAAACTGTACTCATTAAATGATAGCTCCTCATTCTCTTCTCTTCCAAACTCCAGGAAACTGCTGTTCTACATTCTACTTTCTACCATGTATTTGACTATTCTAGTTACTTCATGCAAGTGGAACCATACAATATTTGTCCTTTTGTGACTGGCTTATTTCACTTCATGTGTTTTCAAGGTTTGACTATGTTGTAGCATGTAGCAGAATTCCATTAAGACTGAATAATATTCCATTGTACCTATATACCACATTTTGTTTATTCATCATCAATGGACATTTGGGTAGTTTTCACTTTTCATTATTAGGAATAAAGCTGTTATAAAAATGGACATACAAATATCTGTTTAAGTCCCTACTTTCAATTCTTTTGGGTATATACCTGGAAGGAGAATTGCTGGATCATATGATAATTCTGTTTAATTTGGAAGGAAACTACCAGTTTTCTACAGTAGTCACACAATTTTACATTCCCATCAGCAATGTAAAAGGGTTCTAATTTCTCCACATCCTTATCAACACTTTTGTTATTGTCCATCTTTTCTATCATAAGCATTCTAGTGGTTGTGAAGGAGATTGTGGTTTTGAGCTGCATCCTCCTCA